GAACCCGATCTGTTATAATTATGATCCCCTCTTTTGGTGGGTTTTTCTCTTTTGTGGAAACGATCAATAATCTGTGTTTTGGTATGAACAAAAGAATAGAGTTGGTGTAAAGGCTGGCTTTGAGGCTCATGGTGTCCACATGTCCAAGTGTGCTTGAGCAAGACACTGAATGGCTGAACTGGCTCCTGATGTGTGGATGACAATAAATGGAAATGGTCACTTTGGGGGGAAAAAAGCTTCTGCTTTAATGTATGTAATGTAAAATATATTGATTTACCAACCATTTAAGTCTTTTATCAAGCTAAATTTTAAAACTACCAATGGACCAACATTGTCATCCCTAGAACCGTTCTGCTACAGCAAAAAATCAAAACATTTTGTGAACTTGGGATGGGAATTTCCCCCAATTTTTTGTACATTTAAAACAAAAAAGTGATAATTAGAAAATATTAAAGAGATGAGTGAATGTCTAAATTGAAGAATACGATAAGTGTCTTTCTTAGCGTCATCCCTATTGGAAGTATAGTGTATTACTGCAGGGATTCCTTCCACACTTTTATTTTGCTGAAACACAACAAGGAGTTCCCCCTCACTGCTCGTCTGTTGCTGTTAGTGAAAGCCTGGGACAGAAACAGCTTCTTCCTCAGGTGCTCTCTCTGACATTACATCTCAGGCTCCAGGCTAATGGTGGATTACCTGTCCGTGTATGTCTGTAGAGTACTGTTCTTCATTTTGGCTGCAGCCGAATAAGTATTTTACGTCACATGTTGTTATATAAGCCACAGACAACTGGTACCACTTTTAATGCAAACGCCCCACACTCAAAATCTCAGTGAGGGGAGGTAGGAAATAATCTGAAAAAGCATGCCTACTGTTTGAGGCGATGGAAGGGCTAATTTTTGTCTGTGAGTGTCTCCTTGCCACTACGTCAGGAAGGCTTGTTTTTCCCATTATACAGTAGCTTTGTGTAGCAGAGATAGCATTGAAATCCCCGTGGCAGCTGTTTTATCCTGGTGTGTGTGAAGCACTGCCATTTAAAACTGACCCGTTTTCCATCTTAATTATTTAAGCTGCACAATGGATTGTTTTCACATTTACCTTCGTGCCCCCCAGGTACTGTACACTTTACCTGCCTGGCTAGTCAACTAACTGCTGCTGAAGTGCAGTTCAAGGTCTGTCACACAGGCGCTACCAATACCAGTGTATTATAGAATATGTCATTTTGCACACGGGGCTTAATTCTGACATTTCAGATGTTGTCACGGTCGGATCAAGCGGGAGGAAAAATGCAACTCAAAATGCATCAAGTTATATGATTATTAATCAACTCTCTTTCGCATAATCTTATGATTTACCCATGGCCTGTTCGCATCACCAGATCCACGGCTCGGCGGTGTAGCAATGTGGTTATATTTCTAGATCTCAGCAGTGAACTTGGTGAGCACGATGTTTATAGTTTTGAACATCATTTCCATTAGTTATGAAAATAAGAGCCAAGTTGTAACAAACCTGAATTGACCTTTACGTTTTGCCCTGCTAAATTATCCAGAAGCATTTGGCTCAAGAGTGATGAATGTCCTGACATAAACCTTTTAGACGTCATCTAGCAGCTACACTTTCTGCTGTCGTATTTCAAACGTGGCATGTTGTGTTTTGATTGGGTGCATACTTTATGTGCTTTTAAAGCTACAGTAAAAAGAGGCCACCTCAAAAGTCTTGAGCTAAGCCGCGGATCATATTCCCTCTCGGAGCTTGGCATTAGTCCACGCTGTGGGTCACGGGGTGATTATGTCTTCCTGTCGGGAATGCTGAGAATTTCCTGCGTTTTTCTGCCTCTTCCGGCCTTGTTAGTGGTTGTGCCTGAACATGTGACAGAGAGCCCGGGCCCCGGCTGGCTCTGATTGACTGGAGAGCCTTATATCGTTGTTACCTAACGTGTAGCAGGAGCACCGACACAGGCGCTGCCCTAAAGGGATGGGTTTTTTTTTTTTTTTACAGCTCTTGCATCAAGGGAATATGCTAATCGAATGAAGTGTATTCAGCGGGTAAATAATTCTGCACCTGCTCTGAGGAGACTTTGGCCTCATATCTCTCTCTCCAGGGAGCTTTTGTTAGATACAGTAAAACCACTTGCATGCAACACCCTTTACTTAGATTTTAGTGAGGTGGATCCCTTATTAGCAGAACTGCAGGCTATCAGCTGATTCCTGGGTGCTTTAGTGTCTCATTTGACTGATTTTAACGTCCTGCTGTGTTAATGTAGTTCAAGACTCCTGCATTTTGAATGGCAAGTGTTGCACTTTAACCTTTTGCAGTTATTCTCAGAGCATTACTCTGCAAGGCGAGCCGACTCCGGTCACATTCCTGAGCAAGGACATTGAAAGAAAAAAAGTTTGTGTCAATCTGTGAAGTATGCGGTTTGTTGATAGCCGTGCACGTGGCCCTTTGTCTGAATATATGAACATATGCTGTGTGTGTGTGTCTGCTCGGTGTCCGGCAGCAGTCAACTCTCAGCTATGTTGTTTGTGTCCGAGGGAGAAAGGAAAGCTCTGTTTGTGTAGGGTGGTGGTGCAGGAGGGGGTGGAGTAAGAATCAGGCTCGAGTATAGGCTGCCTCTCCTCAGTGACTCTCTCCACCCATTCTCCACCCATTTCTCCTATTCCAAGATCCCTCTTCCTTCTCTCTCCCGCTCTCCCTCTTTCACCTGCTTTTCTCGGGGTGGTTTTTCAGGGGGGCAGCAGACTAGGGCGGGAAAATGTAGAGGGTCTCAAAATGGAGGAGCGAAGAATGACATCATGGGGTTTTGAGGCCAACTTTAAGGGGAGGACTCAGGGTCCCTCCAAACTGGAAACTTACTGAGTTAAATAGTCCAATTACAGCCTCGATAGTTTGGCTTTTCTTTGCCCCGGTTTTAAGTGTTTAGGATTTCCTTTGCCACCACCAAGGCAAATGAAGTGAACGCAATTTTGTTTGTGGAGTTCACCTTATTAAAAATGAAACTTTGAAAATGCAAAAATAATGTAATGTAACTAAGCCATTAGATACAGCTTAATAACCTAAAAAAAAAAGGTGCCATTATTCAACGCTGTGAGGATATTCCACTCACTTAAAATTAAAACAAATGTGCTTTGCCAGTTCACACGATAGCGTATTTGGGTGAACCAACCCTTTACAATTTCTGGTTAATTTCCTTTAAAGGTCGTGCCACAGTATGAAGTTTGGCATATGTATTTAATTCCACTACATGAAGTCCCTGCGACTTAATGAGACTTCCTCAACTGCGTGTGTGATTGGTGACCTCGCTCTTATGGGGTTAATGCTTTCAGTGTGTGTTGTTTTTCTTTTTCTCTAATCAGATGAATTCCTGTCGTGTTCAACCGTTAATGCTTTATCTGTATGTAACGGTAAACATTCTAGTCAATGTACTTTTATCAGTTTGCTGTACCAGCAGTGAGTGCATCAAGTCTACAAGGACAGAACATCTCCTTCAGTCACCATGCAGGTTTCAGTAACACAGCATGTTGCCTTCCTGTTCCGACCGTATAGCTGTGTCTGTTTGGCTTCACGAGAACATCTATCGGGGAAGAGCAAGAGACACGGCGAGCTTTGGACTACAAAGACGGGAGAGAACAAAGACGACGGACTGCCCCGCGGCCTGTCGGATCCAGTCGGAGCAACCCAAGGATAGCTCCAGGAGCCCATCTGAAGGCTCTTAGAACACGAGCAGGCTGCAGACAGCCTCAGCATGCATGGCTAACTGGGCCGCCTGTGTCACACGGCTGTATGAGCACGTTAACAAGACGGCAGGGACACGCTGTGTGATGGCCGCTCCGAGGCACGGAAATTATGATTCCAGCTAAAGTCAGGCACTTCAAAGTCCTGAACAGATTTGGGATTTCCATGCCTAGAATTTACCTTTTTAAAGCAATTATACTGGCAGAACTTCTACTTCAGGATAATTGCGCTGTCAGATTTTAGCCTTTGTACTGGAGCTGCCCAAATTTCTATTTTTATCCGCTTGTCCTCACAGACAGAAAATATTTATAATACAATAGTGTGAAAGTAGGCCATGGGCTTCAGAGGCAGTGCTGGAGGAATGATGTAACCAGGAACCTATATGTGTAGGTTTTCTCTCCGGAGGTTCGCAGCCCTCTGCCAGCGATCAACTCTTTTTCCCAAATTAATCTATAGTTTTGGTTAAATTACTGTTGGATATAGTCAAATAATAAGCTGTTCAAGATATAGAATCTCCTGTATGTGTACAGTGGGTTTCAGTCTTTACATTCTGGCTCTCTTTAATGTGAAAGGTTCAACATTTTCTTTCTTCTATTGTCATATATTCTGCCTCTTTCCCTCACATATGTGATATTAATCCGTCTGTCTTGCTCTCTCCGTCTTTCTTGATGTTAATTAACTGGATTACCTTCCCAGAGGGCACTCTGATGAAGCCTATTTTCGTCCCTGTGCTCCCTCGCTGTGTTGTACAACATACATCTCAGCCCCTTCCGTCATGATAATGTGACGATGCATGTGAAATGCAGTCTGTCTGCCACTCTGGGCATCACTTCTGTCTTTTTTATTTTTTTCCAGAGGTTGCTTTGCATTCATATAAATGCTTGAAAATATGATACCTGCTGTTAACAGGTGACATTGCTGTGAAATGGCTCTAAAGCAGCACTTGATTCAAAGTCAGGAGAGCCATTTAATGTCTCACATAATGATATATACGTACATAATATATATGTTATTCTATATCATATATATAGTATATCACGCAAAAAGGGATATTTGTCCTCCTTCTGTACTTTTACTTTTATTACCTTGAGTACATTTAGCAGATAAAAATAAAATGTGAAACACCATGCTGGACTTTTACTCCTTATTGGATAACTAGCATATTTTAGCATCCTTATTCCTCACTCCTTATTGCTGGAATACTTCCTCCCTCACTGGCTGCCATACGCAAATAACCTGGCTTTTTCTTTCATTATCTCTTCCAGTCTCCCAGTCCAACAGCAGCCTAAAGAAGCATCGCAGCCGGAGCATTTTCAGCCCCTTCTTCTGCTGCTTCCGCAACTACAATGACTACCACGTTGAGCCACCACCCGCCAACAACAAGACACTTTCTCTGGCCCTGCCGCCAGAGGAGAACGGCAGTCCTCCCAAGGTGAAGCTCATTTTTCTCTCTCGCATCAGATCCCAAATTGCACACCATTTGCATCCACGTGACTGAAAAGAAAACCTTGTGGGAATTAGTGGATATTTTACAACAGGAATCGTAGTTCGCGTGGAGAGGTCCGGTAACGAGAAACATTTGTTTGGTTTTGTTACAGCGAGCTTGTTAGGGTTTGCCTTTCCCTGCAGAGAGCTGAGGCGCTGTGCTGCCTCGCTGAGCGCTCCCTCCGCAAATTTTTCCAGCTGCTACAAACCCGCTGAACCCAGAGGTTGTTTACCATCCACTGCTTGCAAATACAGGCTCGCTTCCCATCTCGCATTCTTCGATATCTGCCTACGCACACAACCGCACACACGAAACAACACACAGAGCGCAGAGCACGCTGAGAAGCTCAAAAAGCCACACACACATACACACGGTCGCTCGCTCTTACCACACGCCTATGACAACACGTGTACGCACGCAGACACATGCACACACAGACACGCACACACACCGCTTTAATCCCCATAAAGTGGGCCTTGTGCGTGTCCGCTGTGATGGATTGCCTGGCACCCACGCCTCCCCCTTCTCCTCACACACACTCTGACCAGTGTAGTGAGGATGTGTGAAGCGAAAGGTTCTGGCCACGGGAAAAGGCGCCAAAACCCCCGAGCTCCTCCGCAAACACGGTGTTCTGCTGCCAAGGCAGGTACGCTGGGCTATAAATGGAGCAACGTCATATCACGTTTCCACTCCTGTTTACCTGTAAATGTCTCTCATTCAGGGGAGGAATGCGTGGCCCTTTACAGACACTATACGTGCGGTCAGCGCTGACCCGCTTCCGGACCACCAACTTAACAAATGAGTCCCCGTTAAATTAGAGTGAACCTCGCGAACCTTGCCATAAAAAGCCTTGTTATAGCGCCGGGTCTGCTTTTGGAGTCCCTCCCAGCAGCGCACTGTTGCTGGATTTCTGGCCAGACATGTTTGTTACTATGGCAGCTCTGTTTGTTTTTCATCTCACTATCACAGTGTGTACTATTCGTCCATTTTCTCCGTCCCTCTCCCTCTTTCTCTCCATGCGCATTTCTTGATTACAGTATAGACGTTGATTTTTTCCCTCGCAAAGATTTTTCACTGTTTTGCATTTTCGGCTTTACCACCCTGTCTCTCTAAATCTCTTCCTCTCTCTGTTTATTTTCTCCAGTGTGACCAGGTCCAGGTCATTCCCATCCCCAGTGTATGTATTATTATCTTTCATTTTTCTTCATCTCGCTCCATCACTGTAACCTCCTCCCTCTGCTCTGCTGTGCTTCATCGTTCTATAGCTGCATGTGGATGTTGGCTCAAAGGTGATTTTTCTCTAGCACTGTCCCATCCTGATAATCGGGCAGCTTTCGAGGCTTTGCTTTGTGCCGCTTACCGTCAAAGTAATCCAAATCCATTCATTATCATATGATTTATTTCAGGCTTTGTCCTTTTGTCCATTTCTCCCGTTTTCCTCCAATCACTGGAACAGAACATGAAATTGATTTCCTTATTAGATCAGATTCATTGAATCTTAAGCTGGACCTTTACAGCTGCATTTTGGATCAAAAAATAGATAACTCGCCCTGAAAACTCTTGATTAAATTAGGTATTTGTCTGTATTTGGCAAAATAAATCAATGAACTCAATGAATTGCTGGTTTGAGGTTTCAATGGTTTGTACTAGAAATTCACTTGCTTTGTTTTTGCTCAAGATGCAGTTTATTTAGTTATTTTGGAATCTACGCTGTGCCTGTGGTTTACTGTAATTATAGGATATTCACACTCACAGCATCCCACATCGCAGGCAAGCTTTAAACTACACCACACCTCCCTTCAATGGCAGGAAGGGCATGTGGCGATAAGGTCTGCTCTTTGTATTCTCGGCAGCATCCGGGCGAGGACTCTGAGAGGCGTCTTAAATAACTCGAGCTGACCTGGACAGGTTGTCTGCGTCGCTCTTTACTGTAACTCAAAGTTTAAAACAACATAGGAACTAGACAAATAAGACGTCTCTGAAACTTGTTGCTACTTTCTTTGTCTTACTATTACCAAGTACAGTTATATACAAATATATCCAAGCACATTATTCTGGAGGTTTTAGCTGCATCTCATGGCTTTCATGATCATTTGTCACGGGATTGAAGAAGAAGTATTTAGTGATAAGTAATTACATTGTAGATGCATGTAATTATAGTCAGAACATCATTAATGAACAGAGTAAATGCAGAGTAAAATGTTTCAGCCGTAATGAACACCACAATCATCCACTGTAGCACACTTTGATTACTCAATATTCCTATAATTCTGCCCATATAATCCCCAAATCAAAAAGATACAGTGTTTATATAATATAACTTGAATTACTTGAATCGGTTTGGGATAGCGCCTCCTGGCTGTGGCTGCAGGTGTAGAGCTTCTTTATCTCGGTGCAGCTCACTAGTGAAAATGTCAAGGTCCCGGTCAGTCACTCTTTCTTTGCTCAACCTGCATGTAATCACATTCATCACGGCCTGAGAGGATGTCACTCAGTGTCCTTGCTCACAGGGAATCCTTCCCACGATACATCAGCTTGCATTCCCGTGATAAGACATGATAAATACAGACAGCACGAAAACACAGACACATGCAGAGAACGGGTAGCATATTGAGCAGCAGCACAAGTGTGTGTATGTGTAAGATTGACAAAGTCCTTGCTCCTCACCTCTATATGGCTGTGTGTGTGTGTGTGTGTGTTTGAGCGTGCCCCCTATGGCCTCACCATCTGCCCCGTGCCTGTCTGTAACCCCAGGCCTGCTTGGCAGAGGACACACGCATTTCTCCCATTCCCCCCCCCCCCCCCCCCCCCCCGACCCTGAAGGCATCACAGTCA